TGGCTTTTCTGCCGATATCCGATATTCCGATATTGTCAATTTCCGATAACGATATCATCCGATATCAATATCTGCAGTCTTTTTACACCAAAACTGTAACAACATAACATATCTCCTATTGTGGAATTAACACATTATGCCTCATTTTATTGTGATGCCCCACTCGATGCATACATAAATGCAACATGGCTTTCCAAATGTAAACACTGTCTGTGCAAAATAAGAGAACAACTTCAACTTTCATTGTATTAATACTGAAAAGAGTACTAACGCTAACCGCTAGCTAAGCACTAGCTTTGGTTAATGTGTTTAATTGTATTATTCACCTGAAGGAGTGCTAATGTAAATTCTAAGCCAATTGTTAGTTTGGTTAAGGAACAGCTCATAGCAGGGTGAAATATTTAAGGTGCATTGCACTTATTTTGTGTTAATATTAAAATCATTCAGCTTTAAATTGTTTGCTTGTTAGCCACAGTTAGCAACCAACCAGTCTAGTGTAGTTGTTGTTGTTATACGTCATCTAGCGCAAGCCGGTAAACGTCCCATGCTGCGTTCATGCAGGCTCGGAAATGCTGAAGCCTACAGAACAAACATCGGTTATAAAAACCAGATACCGATAATTCCCGATATTAGATTTTTTAGTGAATATCAGCCGATAATATCGGACATCTCTAATAAATACCCATCTCAAACTTCAATATAATTGGATTATAAGAATTTATGTAACTCCAGAAAGACTGAATACGATGAATCCAAATATTTCTTATCTGTGTTAAATGCAATGTTGACTGCCTCTGGAATGAAGTTATAAAATGTATTTCTCTGATGACCTTGAATCCAGAACCTGACTGTCCTACACTTCATTCTTAATTTGTATCCAAAGGACTGTATGTTAAACAGCAAAGAGGAAAATCACTGACTTATGTTTAGTACAGGCTAGACGCTTGATTTCTCTTTGTTGGAAAGACGTCAAGAGCTCTTCTGTTGGTCGCTGGCTGAAAGAACTATCAACATGCCTTGTCCTTGAAAAGTTAATATACACAATGAAAAAGAAATCAACCAAATTCAGAGATCTGGAATCCCTTTCTTGCCTTCTTGGAGAACTGTGAAGTTGAGGAAACTCTGGAAACTTGAAGGCGAAATGTCCCTAACTGTCGATACCTTAACCATGTGATGATTAGCTGTGTATGATTATGTAATGTTGTTACCCAGTTTTTCGTTTTGTTTTTAACTATTTATTTTTCCTTTGGGGTGGGGGGAGTGGATTCTTTTATAGTTTGACTGTTATATGCTTTGTTAAATGTATTAACATTTAGTTTTTTAAACTGTTAAAACTCAATAAATACATGTCTATAATAAAAAAAAGATTCCTGAGGAAATCGGCCTTGAGTTCACTCGTCAAGAAGCTGATAATGTGAGTCCAAATGATCACAGGTGTTCTGAATGCACAGAATTCAACGTGGATATTGGGAGAGAAGAGCTGTTTCATTATAAACAGTGTGTAACAATCATATGTCCAAACACTGCAGTACCACTTTTTATCAAACACTATCACACCAAGTATTCCTGTTTTCATTGCACATGCTCTAAATCAGGGGTGGGGAACCTTTTTCATATCAAGGGCCATTTCAGTTTTTATAAAGTCCTGAGTGCCATACTATTATTAAAACATAACTAGGGATGAAAAAAAAAAACGGAAAAAGTCTAACCGCTGTGTTACTAAGCCTCATGATTGCTGCATTTCTAGATTCACCTCATGTGATGGCTGGAACTGTTTTTCTTTAGCGAGGCGTCTGACGTCAGCTGGCAGTGATGATGATGCTACTCGAAGCTGGTTTTCCAAGTTTGAGTCTCAGTCTTGAGCGGAAGCGAGTATTTGCAAGAGTCAGTTTTGAAAAGAACTGTTCACAGCTATACGTTGTCCCAAACAGAGATGCAAACTTCAGGGCATGTCTCCTCAGGATGGGAAACTCCTCAGCACGAACATACAGTTTGTAAAAGTCCAGCAGAGAGAGGTTGTTGTACTTGGCTTTGAGCTCGTTGTTGTTTTGCAGCTCAATTATTTCCATTTGGAGGTTGTCTGGCACATCAGATGGTTGCACATTAAATGGCGTCGCAAACATTTTGAGTTCCTTATGTATATTTTTCACATCATGAAACCTCTCATCAAATGCCTGGATGAGTTTTGCACAGTCACCAACATATTCAACATCAGGCTTTTGTTCTTGTAGGCTGGGAAAGTGCACAGTGTTTTCCATTTCCAGTTGTCCTTGCCACAGCCTTAACTTCACTTCAAATGATTTCACATTTGAAAGCAGAGAGCTGATGAGCTGGTTGGGACCTTGCAGCTTGATGTTTAGCTCTGAGGTGCTTGCTGATGTCCACCATGAAGGCCAGATCACGGACGAACTTGCCATCACTGAGCTCCATGACAGGTTTCCCCTTCATCTCCATGAAGCGCCTGACTTCTTCTTATAAAACCGCGCGAGCATATTTGCACGACTCAGCCATCCCACTTCACAGTGATGAACCAGATCACCATACTCTGACTCAAGGTCACTGAGTAGCTCCTTGAACTGGCGGTTGTTCAGCCCTCTGCTTTTAATGAAGTTTATGGTGGACACAACTGTTTTCATCACATTGGTAAGCTTCAGGGGATGTGCACACAAACTCTCTTGATGTATGATACAGTGGCATACAACCAAATCCCTTGGATGCAGACTCAGACGGCTCATTTCTTTTTTGACTAATGCAGTCAATCCTTTTAGCGCCAACCATTGCGGGAGCTCCGTCAGTGGCGATGCTGCTCAACTTCTCAAATGGCAGTTCAAAATTGTTCATGGCCACAATAAGTTGATTGAACAAATCCTCACTGTTAGTAGTGCCATGCGTGGCTTGCAAAGACAGCAACTCCTCCTTCGATTCACACTCGGTTGTAATCCCACGCACAAAATGGCAAGCTGCTGTTTGTGATGTCTGTTGTCTCATCACCAGAGAAAAATACTCAAAGTCTCTTTCAGTGTTCTTCAGTGTTTGTTCAATATCTTGCGCTGTATCAGTAATCCTGTCTGAAACGGTTCTTAGAGACAAACTGACACTTTGAAATAGTTTCACTTTGTCGGTACGAGCAGCTCTGCAGCGGCTCCGAGGCACTCCTTCATGAACTCTCCTCCAGAATGAGGTTTCAGCTTCATGGCTATTAATTCACTCACCACAAAACCTGCACGCGTAATATTCTCTCTGTCAGTCTGTGGTTGTGTGAAAGCTGCTTGTTGAGCACCCGAAGAGCGTTCATTTTATCCAAACGCATTTGTCCTCAACTCTCGAGTTTAGCATGTTTCGAGCTGTAATGGCGCTCGACTTTTCGCCTCACCACAAACTATAGGCACACTGGCTGGCCTTTCACTTCAACAAAGAAAAAGTCATTTGTCCATTTTTCCTGGAATACGCGGCATTCTGCATCCACCTTCCTTTCTTTGACAGTCGCCATGATGCATCACTTGTCATGTGTCAATCACTCCGGCCCAATGCAATGACAGGTACATCGCATGCTGTATTCACTGACCCTGACGTTGACTCGGACAACGTCTGTTTTTTCTCAGAAAATTAATGGCTGGTGATTTTTTTATTTATTCATATATGCATAAATGAAGATATAAAATATAAAAATTGTATTGCATTGCGGGCCATTTGAAATGGTCTCACTCCCCACCCCTGATCTAAATGAATCCCTGCATTGAGTCTGAGAGTCTCTCCTGTGAGAAACAGCCATTTTTATTTACTTTTACTTCAGTAAAGGATCTGAATACTCCTTCCACCACCGAACACACAATGCAACAATCCAGCAATTATTAAAATAAGTAAGTAAACAGAATAAGAGGCTGTAGATTGAAGCAGTGAGCGGCTGCAGCCACCAGAGGGCGGCAGAGAGGTTTCATTAAACTGAGAGAGTGTAAAACTAATCAAACTCATCATCAATTTATTGGTTTCTGGATTTAAAACCATCACACCAACCTTTAACAGTGACAGATAATACACAAATATCTGATTTATTATCAGTCTGGTGATTTACTACCATGTTTAATGTATTTATATTTTATAGATTTAAAGGTTTTACAGGGTTTAATGTCTATACAAAGTTTGTTCATCAGACGTTATCGTTCAAATAATCATCAAATAAATCCTGAATGTCAAGTTGAGGTAAAGATCTATTTTCATTACTTATGATTATATATTATTTAAACCCTGAAAGTCAATAAATACACAGCCTGAGGGAAATAAACAGGTGAAATACAAATCTTGAAAATTGAATTAAATTATTAATTAAAATGGATTATCTTTTTTCCTTTCTAATAATATGAATATTTTATTATAGTTTTATTTTGTCAGATTTTATTGAGTATTTTATATTTTCTTCTCTGTATCATCTTACTTTTATTTTTTCATTATTTTATTTAAAATTTTACAATTTTGTCGTTTAATTATTCACTTTTTCCTGTTTTTTCTTTTTCTTTTTTATTGTTTTTATTTATCTTTTTATTTAGTGATTTCATTATTATTCGATTATTTTCCCCTTTAATCTTTTCCAGTTTCTTTTATTATTTAAGATTGTATATTTTATTTTTATATTATTCTTATTATTAATTCATTATTGTGATTGTGATTATTATTATTATTATTTATTCCTTTGATATTTTGTTGTTGTTTGTTTTCTTTCACTAAGTATGACATCATCGCTGTGAATTCCCGGAACTTTGTGCATCATCATTTACAGTCCGCGCACCAACCCTCCGACCCCGCCGCGTCCGCGCAGTGAAATAGTCCCCGTACATATCGCGTCTTATTGCTGCTGTTGGCGCCTGTTTGGATAAAATAAACAAACAATAACTCGAGTTTGTTGTTTTTGTTATTTTTCGCGCTGCCGCCGACACGCGCACCACCTCCTACGTTTACGACGTCGCTCACATTTGGCGCGAAAAGTGTGCGGATGAAAAAAGAGGCAGGACCCGGAGTGTTAAATGTCTCGAGAGCCGCCGCTCGAGGTGAGTCACTCTGACGACACAGAGCGTTAACGGTGCACGCCGATAGATCACTGTGATCGATTATTGATTGATTGAGAGCGGATTTATTTGCTGCTGGATAAAACCTGAAGATTTAACTTTCACTCGGCGGAACTTTTGGATTTCACTCCGTTTTTGCACCGGACGACTTTATCGTTGGAATCATAACGGTGAGTTTTACCAGCAGCCAGCTGACTCCTGCGGGGCTCTGCGGGGCTCTGCGGGGCAGTTTCCACCTGCACTCCTCCTGAAAACAGGCCGAATTGATCCTTACAGTCCGCTTCCATCGTGCGTTCAGCTGCATTTTAATAACTGTTACTGGAAGAGAGAATTTTATAGGATTAGTTTGGATTTTAATATTTGTATAGTGGAGACTGGTGGCTGCAGAGCACCAACACAGAATCTGACAGAATAATCATATAAAACAATCTTTTTTAAATAATATAAATATAAAAATATATAATAAATATACTACAAACAGTATAATAAAATACATATAATATAATAAAAGCTTTTTTCTAGCACTAAACGTTAAAAAGTTAACTTTACCTCTATATGGGACATGGATGGGAGTTTATTGATTTATAACCGTGTTAGTACTGTTTAATGGGTTTTTATTTGCCGGGGTAAAGAGGGAACTCTATTGATAATTAATCGTTGTATTTGAGTCAGATTTTGTAGTTTTAAACTAAAACAATAATGAAAATAATCTTAAACTTACTGTTTTTTGCATTAGGTTTGGTGTGAACCTTGCTGAATATACACATACATTCACTTTTACTCCGGACACGTATTTTGACATGAGCACATTTCTTTCCGGGCCGAACTGTAGAGTCTCTTCTATTGTTTAAGACTGTTTTTATTTTAGTCATATTTAATGTGTTAACTTGGTCCAAGAAAGCAAAGAAAATTAAATGACTTGTTTTTTGTAACAAGTCTTGCGTGTAAACAAATCTTACCTGGTTAATAACAGCCAATACACACAATCAACCTTTTAAATACAACAGCAGCCTTCAAGGTGTTTGGGGTTATTTACGTACTAAGGGATAAAAATAAAAGAGTTTTAAAATGATAAACCCCCCCCCCACAGACTTTATACTGGGAGACATTTTATTCCTTTAATAACTTTTAGTGTCAGTTTTAATGATAACATTGAATTATTTGAGCGTACTTTGCTGCAGTTAAATGAAAGTGCACATTATTGTGGAGCTCATGGTTCTCTGTGGTTGATGGAAAATAACTTCAGGTCTGTGTCACTGCTATGACTGTCCTCTGAAACATTCAGTGTAGCAGCTGTATGGTTCCTTCCTCTGTCTGGATACCAGACCAATGATATCTGTTATTGGAAGCCCACTGCTGCCAATGTAAATCATTATTATGAGAAAGTTTATTATAAGTTATTATTATTATTGTTGTTGTTGTTGTTGTTGTTATTGTTACATATAAAACTAACCTGGTGTCTCGTCTCCTCGCAGGCAGCCATAATGCCGCCGGTGTTAACCATGTCCAGCGGGAACTATGATTACGACTACGACTCGGTTCAGCCCTGCTTCTTCCTGGACGGCGAGGAGGAGGACTTCTACCTGCCCCCCCGCAGCCATCTCCTCCCGGGTCCCGGCGAGGACATCTGGAAGAAGTTCGAGCTGCTGCCGACGCCCCCCCTGTCCCCCAGCCGCAGTCCCTCCCTGTGCGACGTCCCGCTGTCCGCCGCCGAGCACCTGGAGGCGGTCTCTGAGCTGCTGGACGAGGACTGCAACCCCTCCGCCGCCCTCCTCCAGTCCTTCATCATCCAGGACTGCATGTGGAGCAGCAGCTTCGCCGCCGCCACCAAGCTGGAGCAGGTGGTGTCCGAGAGGCTGGCCTCGCTCCGGGCCCGGCGGGACTCCTCCGCAACCAGCAACACTAACGCAGCGGACGAGCAGGTGTGCAGCTCTCAGGTGAACCCGCGGTACCTGCAGGACCTCCACCCAGCGGCCACTGACTGCATCGACCCGTCGGTGGTGTTTCCGTACGCCACGCCGAGCGGCGATGCGGTGGCGTCGGAACTGTGCGTGGACTCGCCGCCTCTCAGCAGCAGTGACAGTGAATCAGGTGGGGAGCAGGCTTTTATTTTGAAAGGTTTACTCTTAAAGGTTTATTACATCCTGGTCTTATTTTCATAGTTTCATAAACACAGATTAGCTTAGCACGTAGCAAAGCTAGTTAGTTAACCAACGCTAGCTCTTCACCCCAACGAGACAGACGACCACCCACCTAGAGCCGGAGGATCTGTCCGAGGTTTCTGCCTCTTAACAGGCAGTTTTTCCTTGCCCTTGTCTCCAAGGTCTTGCTCATGGTGGTACTGTTGGGTCTCTGTAATTAATGTTATAAAGAGTTCGGTCTAGACCTGCTCTATTTGAAAAGTGTCCTGAGATAACTTCTGTTATGAATTGGTGCTATACAAATAAAATTGAATTGAATTGAATTGCTCAACTGTGATTGGAGCACAGAGCAAAAAGGGGCGGGGCTTATGACAGGTAGTTATATAGACGGTGCCTTTAATATGATCAATCCGTTTATTGATCCGTGATCTGTCCCTTTAAATCCCAATCAGTCGTCTTTATTCTGAAATACTTTTATTTTGTCAAAAGAGCTGCAGTTGTGTGATGATGTCATTAATGGTATAGATGATGTCATTAATGGTATTGAATGTTTTCCTGTCTTCCCCAGAAGAAGAAGAGGTAGAAGAAGAGGAAGTAGGCGAGGAGGATGAAGAGGTCGACGTGGTGACGGTGGACAAGCGAAAGTCACCCCGGCGGTCAGACGCCAGCGGCCGACCGAGCGCCTCCTCACTGGTCCTGAAACGCTCTCACATCAACGTCCATCAGCACAACTACGCCGCCCTGCAGCCCCCGGCGGCGGCGGCGGGCCACCGACAGCCTGCCGGGAAACGCTTGAAGCAGGAGAACGCCGGCCGCAAGTGCCGGAGCCCGCGGTCCGACGGCGAGGACGGCGGCGACAAACGTTGGACTCACAACGTGCTGGAGAGGCAGCGCAGGAACGAGCTGAAGATGAGCTTCTTGGCTCTGAGGGACGAGGTCCCGGCGGTCGCCGACAACGAGAAAGCGGCAAAGGTGGTGATCCTGAAAAAGGCGACGGAGTTCATCGCAGAGATCCGAGAGGACGAGAGGAGGCTGCTGACGACGAAGGACGAGCTGAGGAAGAGGAGCAGAGAGCTGAAGCACAGACTGGAGCTGCTGAGGACTTTACATTAACATCAGTTTATTGTTTATTTTGAGCTGCAGATAAAATCATGTTGTTGTTTGTTGTATAAAGAATAATGTAAACAGGAAGTGGCTGCTGCTCTGTGATCAGTCCGGTTGTATTTATTTTATTATTATTTTAATTTAAACGTTTTTATACACAATTCAGCGTCTGACCATCATGATGATCAATAATCTTATCTAATCAATAATTAGCATGGATTTCTTATTATATTTCAAATAGTTTATATTTTTATACTTTTTCCTGCATCAGCGCGACAGGAAGCACTGCAAGCTCTTCAAAATAAAAGGAGGTCCTGTCAGTGTTACAGTGGTGTGAAATGTGTCTGTTTCGTTCCCTTTACGCTCGTATTGCCAAACTGGTCTCCTTTATGCCAGAAGCCAGAGGTCAAAGGTCACAGAGGAGATTCTGAGGAGGAGTTTATTGTGAAATCTGAAGCCTCCTGATGAACTCTGCTCTCAGTGGAAGTGGTTAGAATAAAATGTGGTCTTCAGGGACCGTTTCATTGAGCAAATATTTCCCAGTCTGAGAGTCCACTCACTGTTCTGGATCCGATCTGGTTCTGGACTCTCAGATGAGTCAGCGAGCTGCTGTCGTCATGTTGGGTTTCTCCAGACTGGAAACTGGGTCAAAGTTGAGCTCCAGAGTCAGATCAGGTTTTTAACACAGAGTGGATCAAAGTGCAACCAACCCAGCCGGTTCTATCATTAATAAACATATTAATATATATATTTTATAGATATAATGTTTCATATTATATTAAAACTGAACAATGAACCCAAACAGTGAACAGTTGGATGAATTTAATGCAGATTATTTCCTGTTTAGGGAACTTTTTATACAAGTCTGTTCAGTATTTCTTTAATTATTTTGAACAAACAAACAGATTAAATTCAGTGTTTACTCGACTATTGTTCCACTTTATTTAACTTTTACATTTACTGTCCTTCACAGAAGAACCAAATGCTGAGATAAAGTCCTTCTGCCTATAGTTTTACAATGCCTCGCGACAGGTTGGGAACCACTGGTACATAAAAACATAAGACAACATCAAACATTTGCTCAACAGACACAACGTAAGAACAAAAAACCCACTGAGAGCAAACGAAAGCCATTAAAACCTCTGCGTCTCGAGTTCTGTCTGGAAGGTGACAGCAGACGGTTGCTAACGTTTACAGGGTGAAATCTAAAGTTTGGAATTAGATTCTACAGGAAGGAAGGAAGTTTGCGGCGGTAGAACGACAGATTGTTTTACCGTCAGTGAGTTTAACTGATGATTTATACCACCTGAAGACGATGTGTATCTATTTAAGTTGTACCTCAGCTCTGTTTCCTCATTATTCTGAGGAATGTGTGGAAGACGTGGCTCCACCTGTTGCTCACACACTCTGCACTAACAGCAGCTGATTGACTCATTCAGACGCACTGAACGAACACTGACAGCACGGTTGTCGTATTCCCACCCAGAGACTTTATCCAGACTGTTTTTAATTATATCAAAGTTTCTGCTGAGTTGCAGCCGGAGACGCCCGCAGGCTGTCGATGTCAGCTGACACAGCCGGACTCAGAGGCCTCCTCAGTTCATGAGCTAAACATATATATAATATAACTATATAAATAAATATAAATATAGATATATAAGTATAAATATATATATAAATATAACTAAATATAACCATATAAATATATACATATATAAATATATATATTTATAAATATATAAACATAAATATAAATATATAAATATATATAAATATACAGTGTTTCCATGTTTATATGTGTTTTTTATGGGACATATTTCCAAATAAAGATAAAACAGCTTGCTCAGGGTTAGCATTAGCACCTCCCACTGTAGGGGAACCTTAGCGGGCTTTCTATGTTGTTTGGTACTTTATTATACTTTATACTTAAGTTTGTTTATTTATTTATGTTCTGTGGGAGAATGACGTCCGTCAACAGCAAGATCCGACCTTACTGAGTCACTTCTCCAGCGTGAACCGTCTGCAGGCCGACAGGTTGCAGGCTGGTCTAATGTCTATTTATACAGTGTGTGTGTGTGTGTGTGTGTGTGTGTGTGTGTGTGTGTGTGTGTGTGTGTGTGTGTGAGAGGTAGTAAACAGCTGTTTGGGCACAACAGTTGGCAGTACGTCCATCATGCCCGGCAGGAAGGGGGTGGGTCTCCAGACAGATGTCCACAGACCCTGAGGGGGGCTCCCTCTCTGGGGAGCTTTAAGGAGCCAGGGGGTCCACACCAACGCCCCCCCCCCCAGTGTGTAATACTCAACATTATAAGTACTCATTATTACTGTTTATTACACTGTCTGTGATATACTGCAGCATACATGTACTTCTATCTTCTATATGGTCATATATTGGATTATAAACTAATACTTAGGACTCTTATTTTCTATTATATTCTTTATTTTCTGTCCTGTGAGCACCTGTAATGAAACAAACCCCCAATAAAGATCAATAAAGTATTTCTGACTCTACAGGAGTACAGAGGAATTCACCCTGTCACAGTCAGTGCAGCAGAAAATAACTGATGTTGTTAAAGTTACATAACGCTGCTTTAAAAGATGTAACTGTCCACAGCAGCCTGCAGCTGGACGACCCGCTGACGTCGTCTGTCTGTCCACTCAAACAAAGAGTTATAATAATAATAACAGCATGAAACTTTCCCCAGTGAGGTGCAGTCCCTGTACTCCCCCCACCCATCCTGCTGCTGAGCCCCCATGGGACACCATGATGGTAACCCCCCCCACTTTAACACCGCCCACCCTGCAGGGTTTCCCGAGCGTCGACTTCCTCCACACGCTGAGCGGAAAGTGAAAAGTGTCTGCAGACCACCAACAGCAGAGCGAGCTGCCGACCACAAACCAGCGCTCACTCTTCCAGAGACGCAGCAGACGTTCAGTGACACAACAGAGTTTCTGCTGCGGGGGGGTTGGAGTGGAAGCTACTGTACGCTGGAAAGATTAAAGTTTAACTTCTGTTCCATGAAAGAAAATGTACCTGAGACTATTTACACATTAGGAAGTGAAACTAAACCCTAAAATTTAGGGTTTAGTTTAGTTGTTTCCTGTTTTATTTTGTTATGCTCTTCTTTTGTCTAGTTTAAATTCAGTTCCCCTGCCTGTTACCTGTCTACCTGCCTGTTACCTGTCTACCTGTCTGTTATCTGTCTACCTGTCTGTTATCTGTCTACCTGTCTGTTACCTGTCTACCTGCCTGTTACCTGTCTACCTGTCTGTTACCTGTCTACCTGCCTGTTACCTGTCTACCTACCTGTTACCTGTCTACCTGTCTGTTACCTGCCTACCTACCTGTTACCTGTCTACCTGTACCTGTAAGCTGTATGTTATCACTGTAGTCATCCTGCTGCATGCTGCTGTCTCGTATTTCGGTCCAATCGGTGTCTCCTGAGTCGTGACAGTATGTGCAAAAATATTACCCTCTCCTCAAAGGTCCACTTACTTGTTTTAATCTTCCTTCACTGGTGAAGTAAAAGTCGTAAAATTAGCGTAGAAGCCAACAAAAGTTCTGCATTTATAGTTAAAGGACTCATGCAGAATAATTTACGTTATTATCGGATTATAATTATTGATGCATTCATGTGTCCATCACTTTAAAGCTGCAGTAGGTAACTCGAACGTCTCTCTGCAGCTCCTATCGCTCTGTTAAGCTCCTCCCACCAAACGTAACTTGAACGTCTCGACTGACATTTGACAACGTTATCGGGTCTGTTTTACGCCCCAAAATCTGATTGGCCACCCCCGTTATCTTTACCTCCTCCCCTCCACACTGTGTTTCAGAGGCTGTAGTGGGTCCACAGGTACCAACCAGTGTCATGCTAGCACATCGTAAAGGGGGCTGAATAACGCTCTAAAGTTAGGCAAAATGTAGGCGATGGGAAAACTGGCGTGACTATTTTTAAAGGGACCTCAGACCTCAAGAAAACATCCTCTCCTTCACGGACACTTAATGCTAATCTCATGCAGCTTTGGGCATGTTTCTGCAGTGAAAGACTGATGCAGTATTTTGTCCAAACAGGGTAACCATCAAAAACAGGAGAACAATCACCACAAAGATGACGATAAGATGGAGGAGGAGATCTGAGGGGGAATTTCCCTTTTGAGACGACAAATCAAAAGTGGAAAAAACAAATCTGTGGCCAAAGACAGAAACGTGTTGTTAAATTTGGAAAGTATGAATGTGTCAGAAGACGCCCGAATCAGCATGTGTGAGTGAACTGTGAGTCATCGGTGTCTCCCCATCAGCTCGCCACGCTCCGTCACACCGTTCAGCCTGCGAGAGCACCGAGTTTCTACCAGATGTCTCCTGCAGAAACACAACTGAACAGAGTCAACAGGTCAACTTCAGCTGTCTCTGTAAACACAGTACAGTGCAGCACTTCCATCACCGTCCATCACAAACCTATTCACCCCTCTTCTTAAAGTTCCTGAACAGAGTTTGGCAACTCGTTGATGTTAAAATGATCTGAAGGTAAAATGAGTGTTTTTGTCTCTGGAGTCTGGTGGAGAGTGATAGTGATATTACGGCTGTTTGTGGTTAAACTAAAGGTCTATCTCTGTAGGGATCCTTTCCATAATGCTGTCAGACACTGACAATAACAACCTGAGTCTGTCAGTGGCAGAAACTACTACTGTTAGTGGAACAAACAACAACTACTGTTAGTGGATGCACTTTAACATTTGTCCCCACGGATTAATGTCAGCTTAGATTGCAACCACTGAATCCCGTTTCACGAATATTTTTACTTCTATGTCGGTGAATTAAGGATTTATTTAAACCAAAACAGGGTTGGTGATTGTTGTTGAAACAGTGGGAAGACTTAAAACGACGGTTTTGGTTTATTAGTTTTATCCAGTTTGAATGTTTAACGATTATCAAGGTAAAATTACTGGTTATGCCAATGGAGTCTGGTGGGCTGTAGCACCCATTTGTTTTGTGTTGGTGCTCTAGTGCGCCATCTAGTGCCTGCGATTGTTAAACCTTTAAGATAAGCAACTTATTCTCTTCTGTCTTTCGTGGAGCACTTTGTATTACCTTGCTTTGTAAAGGTGCTATAGCACAATAACCATTTCTCCGTCACTGAAGATGGTTTCTCTGCTCCTGACAGCTGAGAAGTGAAGTGAAAGAAAATGAAAGTCAGGTTTTTTATGTGAAAGTACATCAAACAGCAGCTAAAAATACTGCAGCGTTTCCTGAGCTTCAAACGCGTTTCTAAGAAATACAGTTGGCCTTTAAGAGAAGATTCATCTGCTGTGGTTTCTGACTGCGACT